AAATGGTACAACCACTGTGGAAAATAGTATGGCGATTCCTTAAAAAGCTGGAATTAGAAACACGATTTGACCTAGCAATCCCATTGTTGTTGTTGTTGTTGTTATGTGCCGTCGAGTTGGCCCCGACTCATAGCGACCCCTCCTTGGGTTTCCGAGGCAGTATCACTACGGAAGTAGGATTGCCCAACCTTCCTTCCGAGGAGTGGCCGTTGGGTTTGAACCGCCAGCCTTCTGGTTAGCAGTCAAGTGCTTTAGCCACTATGCTACCAGAGCTCCTAGCAATCCCATTACTAGTTATATATCCTAAACAAGTGAGAGCCAGGACAAGAACAGATATATGCACACCCATCGCAGCACTATTTACAATAGCCAAAAGATGGAAACAGCCTAGGTTCCCATCAACAGAAGAATGGATAAGCAAACTGTGGTACATACACAGTGGAATACTATGCGACCCTAAAGAATAATGTAGAATCTGCAAAACACTTTATAATGTGAATGAACTTGGAGGACATTATGCTGAGTGGGATAAGTCAATCACAGAAGGACAAATATAGTATTAGTTCATTATTGTACAAAGTCAAGGAAAGGTTTATATGTGGATGGGAACTTTCTTTGTTGGTTAGCAGGGGTGGAAGGGGAGGGGAGGGAACACTGCAAAAAAAATGCATTGATCCATGTTTCTCTAGTTTTGTATATTTCATTATGCATACATTATATTTCAATAAAATACATTAAAAAAAGAATATATCTAAAAGTAAAATTACATGAAAACTCAGGATTTTCTTTAGAATAAGACGCTTTTTAAATATTGATGATGGGCATATACCATCGGCCAACATGATACCTTAAGTCAGTACAGTGTAGTGGCTAAGAGTGCACTGAAGGAGACATCTGGCTTCATCTCCATATGCTTTCTATGTAGAATTGGATAGGTGTAATCCTGTTTGAAGATGGTTAAAAGAGAAGGAACTTGTAGATAGTATCTCTTTAAAAGAGTCCATGGACCTTAGCAGCACTATTTACAATAGCCAAAAGATGGAAACAACCTAGGTGTCCATCAACTGAGGAGTGGATAACCAAACTATAGTACCTACACACGATGGAATACTATGCAATGCTAAAGAATAATGTAGAATCCTCAAAACACCACATAATGTGGATAAACTTGGAGGACATTGTGCTGAGTGAAATAAGTCAGCCACAAAAGGACAAATGTTGTATTAGTCCATTATTGTAAAAGTCAAGGAAAGGCTTATCTATGGAAGGTAATTTTCTTTGTTGGTTACCAGAGGTGGGAGGGGAGGGGAGGGAACACTGTTAGATAGATAGAGATAAGTATTGATTTGGGTGAAGAGAAGGGCAATCTACCAAATATGAGTGAACAATATGGTACCATTGAGGAAGAAAAAGACATAGAGAGGTACATGAGAGGTACAGACAACAAAGACGAACCCTTTTGCACGTACAGTACTGCATTGTCAGTGAAGGAAAACATAGTTATACAGGTGAATAGATGGGTGGACAGGCTGAACATATTAGGTATGTCTATGAAGCAGGGAGGAGCTCTGGTAGCATAGTGCCTAAGACATTTGACTGCTAACCAGAAGGCTGGTAGTTCAAACCCACCTGCCACTCCTCGGAAGGAAGGTTGAGCAATCTACTTCCGTAGTGATACTGCCTTGGAAACCCAAGGAGGGGTCGCTGTGAGTTGGGTCTGACTCGACAGCACATAACAACAACAACATGAAGCGGGGAGTGTACCCAAGAACATGTATAGGGTTGACAGACAATGGTGCTATAAGTTTCTGTGTATGATCCGAATTCCCAGGTGTATAGTAGAGCTGACAAGGGGCAACGTTGTAGTCACTGCTTGGTCACAGCCGGCTACCCAGAGGGACCGAGTAGTTGAACCTGTGGGCTCGGGACCATAGTCACAGGGGACATCAAGCTCAATTGGCATAATACACTACACAAAACATTGTT